CAGATATAGATACAAGAAGTTTACAACCGGTTGATGGTTTCAGTTAATGATGACAGCAAACAAAGGCATCTATGTAACCACCGAACAAGAACATGACAGCAAATATCCCCAGAGGATCCTGCTAACATACTTGCTCATGCTGCTGTGGCAAGAAAGGCCAAGAAAACATTCTCTTTGGCCAATTACTACTTCTTTATTGGTTTGGATATTAAGGCTACCACAAATGCCAATTAAGTTCCCAGAAACAGACCTGTCCTTTGGGAACCAGAGAAAGCCTAAATTGCCTCACACGATCCACCAGACAACAAAAATGCCTGAAGCTGCTTAGGACAGATGACTTCTGCCATCGTTGGATAGGTTATTAAGACCTGGTTTCACTAATCAGACCCATTTTTAAACCTTTTTCTATTCAGTTTTAGAAAAGAAGTACAAAAGTAAAGGTTGAGTTACAAAGTTTAGGCTTGGAGAGGAATTAACTACTTGTTTTCAACCTCTTGCGTACATTAAGGGAAAAATACTCCCAGCTGTCTCCAGCTGGACATTACTGACAGAGATTTCACTCTTTAATTCATTTTTCAAAGTGCTGCCTTCTTCCCATCACCAACTGCGTTCCTTGACGTGCTACAGGCAGCAGCCTGCCAGCCCTCATCATCTCCTACCTGCAGGCACTGTGCAAGAGCAGAAGCTGCATTACTAAGAAGGCACCAGCTAGATGATGACCTGAGCCTTCTACAGAAGTGCTGGGAGAAGTTATAAGCAAAGCAGGCTGTTAGCCTCAGCCATGTCTCTGGGCTTACTGTGGTGATGCTAGCATTCAAACACCACAAATAAACCAGCATGACAACAGATGCACAGCTTCAGCCATAGCTGCTGCAAGCCAGAATTAAACAGCACCTAAAAACCAGAAAGAGACAGAGATACTGGAAAACACCAAAAGATGCTGAAACTAAAGCATGCTTTATCCTTAACACATTTTCCTGTGCAGCATTTTTGTACACGGATAACATGTACAGTGATGATGTGCATGCACCTGGGTGTATCTGTTCCATCTTCAGCTGCCTCTTGCTGCGGCATGACTCAGCTCTGGGTCCTGTTAACCACTCCTTTCTGAGCATTCAAACTGACATCTAATTCATTATGAGCAATCTGCTTTCACTACTGGTAACCTTCTGCCTGCTGATACAGATATCTGATAGACCAGGCACCATTCATGGTCAGTATTTACTGCAGGCAACCAAAAATCAGGTCTTTGCCAACAAAACGTTGCCTTACCCTAAAAGTACCATGAAGTCCTACTTCCCAAGCTGGTTTTTATTGGGTTTATCTTTTAAAAATGTGTGTGCCAAAGACCTGAAACACTCAATTCAAATCACATCACCATAACCAGGGTGATACCTAAGCGAGAAGCTTTTTTTAGTGTGAAAGAAGGGAGCAGAGGGGATGGCACTATTCCACTTCCAGAAGCCAAGAAGGAGAACTTCTGATCAGATCAAATCCAACATAATTTAGTCAGTGCATAAGATGCTCTAAAAGCAAACAGGAAGTTACATGAATTAAATTAAACCTAAAACCCAGGCTTACAGTTATTAACGCAATAGAGAGCTGAAATGGAACATCACACACAACTTCGTGCTGTCCAAGGACACACTCAGAATAGCCGAGTCCTCTCAAGTTAAGGATGATGGAATTCTGAAGCGGGGGAAAGTAACCTGAATACACAGAGCTGCTGGCAGGGTAAGTCAAGTACCCAGATCTTTCAAGCTTCATTTCAGCATCCTAACCATGGTGTGGCCCAGTGTCTTCTTCCACTGGGCTTGAGTAGGGACCTTTACCAAAACACAGCAAAACAGTCCTCAAAAGGAAAAGAAAAAGATGTAGAACCTTCTCTACTCCGATTTTGCAGGAGTTAAGCACAGTCCTAATGGTTATACTGGAAAGACAGTGTAAAAGGTAGCCAGGAGCTAGGAACCCTGCTACCCCAGGGGTGGGTTTTAGAGTATTTCTGAACCTGCACTTCGTAAGGTACAAGTAAGAAATGATCCATATCAACCTGGACTGACAGTCCTTCAACAGCAAAACTGCTGGAGGACAGTAAAGGACTTTTGGGGTTTGTTCTTGTTCACTTTAAGCAAGGCTTTCCATATCTCACTGTGCACAACTAGGTTGGCACTACGCTAACAGGGAACCAAGTCCAAAAGCAACAGGGCTTCCTACCCTCTCCAGTAACACTTTTCCTGCCCTTTCAGGAGTTGTGGACATCGCAGGACCATGTTTCTGTTTACACCATGTGCACCACATTACAAGTACAGGCAGCTTCAAACCAAAGCATCTGTTTCCATGGCAATGGGACTGCATCAGCAATCCACCGGGTTTAGTTTAGGCCATCTTCACTCAGGCTTGAACGCTGCACCCAAATCATTGCTGTTAACAGCAATGCAAGTGATGTCACTAGTAACCATGGTGCCCACAGCAGAGGTTTCCACGTGCCCTTTGTGCTCCAACACACCTCCTTTCACGCATGACAATGATTTTAATCCAATTAATGCTGATAAAGAAAAATAATACATGAAGGGCCAGTGTCAATACTTCTTTAGCAAAGGAAGGTTCATTTGAGTCAACAAGATAACGATCAGAACATGAGGCTTTACAACAGCACTTTGACTCCGAGCCTCATTGTGATGTACACATTGGAATGACCTGAAACCCCGGGGAGAGGGGAAAGAAATCTGTTGCTCGTCAATGGCTTCATTAATAAAGGCAAAAAAGCAGCCGTCCTAAACATCCTCCTTCTAGGTTTGGATAGTGTACGGCGTGCAGTGTTTCATTCCACTTTGCAATACTCCTTCCCCCAAACACCGGTGCTTCACCAGCAGAGCATAAAACCCCGTCTTAAGTGTTCCTAACATCCAGCTGAAAACAAAGAAAAGGAGTCCTAAAATGAGAGAGTTGTAAAGTGTAGAGGGAAATTAGAAGAGTCCCCATCCTAGCAGAAACCTGGTCCCAGTGCTATGAAAAGACTGCCCCTTTCCAGGCTGCTGTGTCAGGTGGCCAAGGAGCGCAGCTCCATCAATATAGAGATATTTAACATTTCACAGAGACCTAAAACTTTGCTGACCATGAACACAGCCTCCTCTACGTCCACACACTTTACAGATCAAGGACCCACCTTCGCATCCCTGCCTGACACTGCATTTGGAAGGTCTGCAAGGAGCTGCCATCTGATCATCCCCCTGCCTGCAGCAGGGATATTATGGGGCTCTTCCCTCAAGTTTACCAAGTAAGAATTGGGAATATCACATAGGAATTGCTGACCTTTTGCTGCATGCTTATCCCATTATACAGCCACTATGTAATTTTACCTTCAAGGAGATATTAAGCACACAAGGAGAAAGATGAAGATGTTACTCATGAAGGATCTTCTTGTCAGAGAGAAGCACATGTACAGCTGCTTTCTGATGGAAGGTACGTTAGTGTCCAGAAGATAACAGGCCTGTTCCTGCCACCCCTTCACTCTCCCAAGAGCTGTTATGAGGTGAGGGTCATAGCTCTTTGCAGCTGTAAGAACCTCCTCCTTCTGGGTTTCCAGCCCCAAATACTGCAAGACTCTTGGCCAGCAGAAGCAGAGCAAAGCTGAGCATGGAAAAGAAGGGACAATTCTCACCCCAGAAAGTGCAGGCTATCCTCATCTGCAGCACCATTACTCTTGGCTGCTTTTCTCGTAATGTAAAACACATCCCTAAGAAAAAGCCCTAAAAGTTAAAGGCAGGACAGGTTGCCAGCAGCAGACTCGCGCAAGACAGAGCAGAAATACAGAGCATCAATGTGTACAGATGCTGTACGCACTGCGTTATTTGGAATCGGGTCTTGATATTAACGAAGCTGTTTGTACAAAACCAGGACATTTCGGGGACGATCAATTGTGCAGAACCATAAAGAATTTACGGCATTAAGGGAACCATTCCCATGGCCACTCATTAATCACTTTGTCTTACAAAGACACCCTTACAAAGTTACACTCCGACGGAGCCAGGGCTGGATGTGCCAGAGGCACATGAAGTAGGAATCACTTTATTATGGAGATACCTCAAGCTTGTTTACCCCACATGCTCCATCTTTCAAAACGTCTACTCCACTTCCAGCTCAGTGTTTCATCTTCCCTTGATTATTTCCTTCCCTGGTTTTAAACAGGTTCTTCCCTGTATTAACTTTTCCACAGGCACTTTCTATGAGAATTACTGTCCCCAGCTTAAGGGAAGTAAAGCAAGTTGTCCATTATTGTATTGCGAGCCAGAGATGAAATTTCAACTCAGGGTGTTTTGGATCAATTCTCTGGTTATATCCCTTAGATTTTAGGAACTCAGTGCAATTATTCACTAACAATAGGCTGTATGCTACAATACTGGAGGACTGGCTTAAAGAAATCCTCATGGTTTTCCTAATACTTAAATCATTATTTGCCTTCAGGTATTTGAAGAAGTGAGAACCTAATCTGCGTCAACAGCCAAGACTCTGTCCACATGTCAGAAATCTTCTTCTATAGGAATAAAAAAGGAAAAAAGGATTTTTAACAGTCACAAGCTCAGTGGGATTATCAGTGCTGCATCCTGTATTCAAACTAGTACCAGTCTGAGGTTTGGATTAATTGTTGTGGTATAACCTTTATAGCTTCACTCAGCTTTGCTAGAGAAAGAGAGCACGTGTGAACTGTCAAGGCAACACAGTTCACAACTCTAAAATCAATCTCGTTTTCACCAGTAACAGCCAGTTGAAGAACTGCTCCAGGATAACAACTTCAAAATAAAGAAGTAAATGCAGAAAAGATGTTTGCTATTTTGGTCTGTTTTCCCAAAATGATAACCCATCACTGCAAATCAGACTGCACTGAACGTACCGGTACCTCCCTTGTTCTCAAAGCTAAGTGTCTCGCTCTTCTTTCAGAAGGATGCAAGCCCTCATGATCACAAAGAAAAGGTTATGAAAACCGAAGGAAGGAAGAACACAGAAGTCACAGCTTTTAAATACTGCAGCACAGAATTTGGCAGGGAAACTTCAAATCAGGCTTTTGCTTTTAGACTTGTGATTCCAGGGTCTCGGGAGCTGTCAGCAGTGTCACTTGCTTTTAAAATTAAAGCATATATGTCTATCTGTCCAGATGGCCAAGGCATCTGCAAATGAAACAAAAATAATCAGCCATCCCGTTCTTCAGTGTCCAGAGATGAAGGGTTAGTTTGTTTTCCCCCACTCAATCAATCTTTCACCATCTGCTGAGCCTGCTGGCAATTGCCAAGTGTAGCTAACAGTTTAAGGGACACGGCTTTTGCACCCAGGTATCAGGACATGGCCTCAAGAATCACCACCACCAAGCACACATTTATGTCTATTCTCAGAGGTACTACCTGAGAGCTACATGCAAATGAAGGAGAAAACAGGACAGTGCAGGGGTCTGGAAACTGAAATGACGGATAAAGCATCATCCTTCGGCAAAGAGGGAAGTGACTCAGGGTACTCCATCAGCATCACAGCACCATCACGCCTGGAAACACGCTCTGATGTTTCAGGGAAGGCAATAAACACAAAGCCCTGAGGGAATGTAGAAGAGAGGCTCATGTTCAAAGATGAGAAGAGCCCTCAATTCCCAGGATCCTGCCCGAGATCAGCAGACAGTGCTGAGCAGATGGGTTCTCTTTAACAGACTGCCTCAAACAGGGGCAAATCCTTCTTCAGTCACGGACCCCTGAAGTGCTGAATAACATATTAAGTGTTATTAGCTTATGAGGATGACACAGCACCTTAAAATAAGTCTAATCCTCAAAAGGCAATCACTAGGTCCAGAAGAATTCCTTTAAAGGACACCATCTTTGAAGGAAGATCACAAGTACTTGGAGAAAACTGTGTGGAGAAAATGAGGACCGGAGGTATTTACAGCAGAGATAGCAAGCTATGGACACTGATACAAAAATAACATTTAATAACAGGAGGGATTCTCTCATCTTATATAAGGGTCGGAAGGGCAACAGTCCCTCGGAATCTTATGGCATATGGAACCACAGTAATGAACGTTATTAAGATGGTAAATGGACTGACCTTTGGCTAATACCACACTGATCTCTCTGACAAGCACATTCAGATCTTGGAACACAAGCCTCTGTGAGACAGAGACTTTAAAGTGTGGGCTGTTTCTGGGCTGAGTGGAGGTGTATCTAAAGGTAGGTTCCCTGAACACACAAGAAAAGGAAGCAAGTGTTATAGGAAAGTTATTGAGACACGCATGTGCAGCTCACTTACAAGAGGAAGAATTAAAGGACTCTTTAATAAGATCTACTTAATGTATAACACAGAATGGGCCAATCTTTTGTGCACGACAGGCTTCAAAGTCCTCACAGAGACAGAAATATTGCACATGCCTTTGATGGGATTGATGTGCAGAGACAGAGAAGACATCCAGGACAGAGTCCTGGGTTCAGCGCTCCTGCAGGAAGAAAGAAAACCCTACAGATGTTTACAGTCGTCCCCTCCATAACTGGTTTGTGTTTCATGAAACTCCCTTCAGTGCTCATCTCCACCTGCTTTCTGCTTATGTTAAGAGAGGGGCCTGCAGTTTCCCCAGGTCAAGCTGCAGCTCCAATGGGCAACTCTCAAGGTTGAGTATATCCAGAGATCCCTTACCCTTGGAAGCACAACAGGATCTGAAACGTGTGCACTGATCCCTAGGAAAGAGTTATACCACAAAACTGTTGTCTAGAAAAGCAGTACAAGGAATTATTTCACTGTTTTGAAATATTTTGCCCATTTTATGCGCCGGAATAAAATCAGGTCACAGCAGGAAGGCAGATCACTGGCTCCAAGCTCAGATATGAAGATGGGTATCTTTTAATTTGGATAGAAAAAGAGACCAAAACTCTTCTTCTATGAAGCAATATGGAAAAGCTAATGATGCAACATGGAAAAGCTAAGACCTAACTGCTATGTGTTTAATGCAGCAAGAGCTCCCAACCTGAAGACACTGACAGCATGAGAGGTTTCCCATGAAAATACAGATATTGATAGGCTAAAATTTAATAGAGAAAACTAATTCAGTTCAGATCTGCTGGGCTGCAAGCGAAGGGTACATTAAGTCCTTTGCTTTAATGTAAGATTAACTTATTTATGGAAGAATTCAAGTGCTACTTAAAGTACTGAAACCACTGTCTTTGTAGATAGTATTTCAGAAGGTAGCAGAAAGCAACACTTAAGAGATTTGTTGCTCCACTTCTCTCACCCTCAAATAATATTATTATTAATAATAATAATGATAATAATAATACTGATGCAAAGCAGCAGCCACTCACCTCAGTTTCCACAACTTTATACACCAGCCTGGAGAACTTGAAGAGGAATTACAAAGCAACATGGGCACGCACACAGTGATTTATTGTGTGTCTGGCCTGCCTAGTGGAGCAGAGAACCAGAGAGGCTGGATTGTACACTGCACAATGTTAATTCTCCCAGCCAATAAATACAGTAAATATGAGTACAGCCTGTCCCAGTTTAATGGAAGCATCCTTTGCTACCTGGGTGTGATCATCAAATCTGGTGGAAATTTTTGTGAAGACTTCTAAAGAGGGATTGTTCTCTTCTGAAAGGAGACAAAAGGACTTTCCACTGCAAAGACCTCCATGAAAACACCTTTGAACGATGACCACAGCACTGCAGCTTGAGACTGAACATCCCTAACTGCATTCAAATGGCTTTGAAGCACTACTTTCACAGAAAGGGTTCCCAGAGCAATTCCATGGGCTTCATCCCCCAGGTGAGAAGGTCCTTTTGGAAAACTTTCATTTGGAGGATGCTGAAATCTAGGAAAATTAATGGATTGCTCCTTAAAGAGCACCTTTATACCAACTGGTTTGGAGATGAATGGGAATCCTCACTCATGAGCTCGATGATAAATCAATGATCGACTTCCAAGCACATGCTTAAGGCTCTCAAAAACCCTTGAGGAGTGATTGTGACATCTCCTTCTTACACTGTTGGAAAACTGCTTCTTACACAACCAGGCTGACGAGTGTCTCCAGCAATAATGACACCGTACCCAACCAATGCCTTTGAAACAAACCTTTTGCTTTTAAGAATCGCTCCTCTCCCCAGGAGCTACTCGAAATCATTCTGTTCCATGTTTCAGTCAAAAGACTTAAGAAATGCCTCAACACCGCTGCTCTACACAGATCTCTCAGCTTGTTCCCCTAAGGGGGTTCAACATGCAGAGCTTGCTTTTTCTGTGGCCCCCTTATGCGCTTCACAGGAGAAAGAGAGACATGAAACCCTTCCTCATTCTCTGGTAAGAATGGAAGTCATGCTCCCCACTGCTCTTGCCCCAGTGCCTGCCTCAAAGACAAAACCTCCACTTTTAAATCAAACTGAAGGAAAAGACATTCGATAATCATGGCCCAGGGAAAGCTCCCACTGAAGCCAGCAGGGGCCTTTCCACCAGTTTCAGGAAGAGCTAAAGCAGATTGCTACCCAACATTAACAAACAGAACAGAAACTCCACATTCTACCCTAAGTGGGTTTTCTGGGTTTATTATTTCATCTTTTCAAATTTGAGACTGGTATTTTCAGTATAAAGCACAGCTAAACTTTTCCTCTTGCTCTTCTTGTACACATAATGCAGCCAAGGCAATGGCTTGGCATGCACTTCTGCAGCTCACCTGGATCTTGGGCTACACGCAGTGGTCCTAGCTTGACCTGGAACTCTCTGAGGGAGATCAGAGACCTGACTTGACACCAGCTATTGCACCTGATCTAAGAGGAAACCTTACTTTGCTGCACATCAGTGCACTAGAAAATTAGAGCAGGGCTGGATAGCTCCATTCCGATGAGTAATTACTTAAGTAGTTTCTTGGGCCAGGGAACTTCCCCTTGACTGACACCCTAATGGCTTATCACGCCCTTTGACATTAAGATACTGCTAAAATCACTGTCAAGTGAACCAAGTGCAATCCAGTGTTCTGCATAAATGAAACAGAAAGAAGTACTTTAACTCTGAAAGTGAACAGCAAATTCAGCCCCTGACCAAGTCCTCCACAACTCACACTGCCCAGTTAAATACTCAGCCCCCATGAAATCAGGTGGGCTCCTCCTTCTCCATCAGATCATTCCCCTGTAAGCTCTGCTGCTTGCCGGCAGCTTCTGCGTAGCTAACACACTGCTTCCATCAACCTGCTCTGTTCAAAGCAACTGAAGTGTCAGGGAAAAATACACAAAAACGAAGCCACCTAAGAAAAATGTTTACTCATTTAGGCTAACATTTAGGTTAAACACAGAAAGATGATACATTTGTGTCAGAAAAACAAATTTGATTGTTATTACTGGAAAACACACCCCATAGACTGTGTTAATAGTCAACTCCAAGTGCATGAGTCCTTAAAGAGACACGGCTGGATGGTCAGGGATGAAATGGGGAAATGCTTTTGCTTTAGTTTAGGGACTTTGGTTTTTTCTCCCTTTACTCATTTTAGGGTTTTAAGCCGAAGTAGATCTTTCTACATCACTTCATCCTGCCACAGAAAGCACTCCTGCAAGCTCAGTATCAGATGCGTGCGCTGCTGGATGAGCAAAATTGACTTTTATTTAAAGCGTGGGACAATGAAATAACGCTTCAGATTCATTTCCTTTTATAAATGCTCCTGCTTGGATATCAAACACCAAGAGAATGTGGGCACGGAGGATTTGAGTTACAGAAACCCCAACATTTTAATTAACTGCTTTATTGCAGACAGGGAATTCAACAACAATTCCCACCAGTATTCAGAAGCCTATTAAAATAATCTCAGTTTTATGCCTAAACTGATTAGTATCTATTTCATAGTGGTACATAAGTGAAGAAATATTACATCTAAATACCACACACACTCCCCCCCCCCAAATTCAAAACTATGCCTTCTCTTTACCCTCTCAAATTCATATTAGGCTGTTTCTTCCCAAGCCTTTAGTTTGCAGTTGGAACTGGGATGAGCAGTAACCATAGTCTAAATGGGAAGCAGTAGCTGCTTAAGCCCTATAGCTCGGTGACTTCCAGGTAGGTACCCACACACACATGGGCTCAGTGCATCCTTCCACAAGCCACTGTTTCCCCAGCTAGGCCAAACAGAGGCTCTGATTTAGGGATAAGAGGAGGCACATCAAGAAGTTTGTATCACCTCCCCCCCACCCCGCTCCTTTAAAAGCACCCAGCAAACCTCAAATATAACACATCCAATCCTGCAGCAATGCCCCACTCTTCCACACAAAGCCCCGTGTTCCCCTGCACTCATCCACACGGGCTGGAACATTACTGACCTGTATCATGTAGAGCTGCGCGATTCGATATTCGTCCACGCTCATGGGCAGAGGAATACGATATTCCTTTATGAGCATTTTGAATCCAAAAATCCTTTGTCCGCTCAGAAACACAATCCAGAAGTTTTTAGTAAAGGCTCCTTAAATAATGGCCAGGAAATGCATTGAGGATCCCTGAAACAGAGGGGGGGGAAGGAGAGAAGCAGTTATTTTCCATCCTTAGTGCAGAACATCCTATTAGGACCAAAAAAAAAGAGCAAACGAGAGGCAAACATTAATTTCTGTAATAGCTATAAGCTTAACAGCAGAAAGGAGAATCCCTGGAGTGCTCCCAGCCCCTTGGTATCAAATTGAGCAGGATCTTTTAGTATAATGTTTATTTGCTTCAGGGGATACCATCAAAGCTATTACCTTCCTGACCTCTGCCACTGTACCAATCAGACTTTCATATGCAATAGCATCTCCATGGAAGAGATGGGACAAAAGCTCAAAATGAATAGGCAGACCTTCTGTTGCCAGACAATGAAGTATCTCTCCAATGTCAGCAACGCACCAGAGTTGCATCCACTCAAAGGTATCAGGTTTTATCTTCTCGCCTTCATTCAGCAGCAAGAAAAGGCAATAATTAGACTTCCTCGGTCCTCAGGAACACCATGATGGATAAAGTAATTTGAATTCTAACAATAAAGACAGCAGAAATGTACTTTTCTTCCCTGCTTTATTCTGGATTAGTGTCTTGGTAGGATCCCTTCTCTTT